GGCACTAGATATTTTGCCGCCTGATGCAGTCTCTGCAGTCCTAAAATCTGATACCAAGCTCCTCTCTAAGGTCTAAATTTAAGCCGCCCCTTAATTTTGGGTCCTAGTGTTTTCCCTAAATTCTAAACATTTTATCATCCCTTAACTTTGTTACTTGGTGCTTCTCCAAATTCCAAAAATTTTATCTTCCTTAAAATCTGCCGCTTCATGCAGCCATGCGAGCTCTAGCACTGGTTCTGAATGAATAAAAAAATCTCTTATTCATTCAAATAGCACTAAATGTAATCTTTTGGCCTATGAGTTTCATTAACAAAATTTATGTTTAGCATATGGAAAGAAATTTTTGTTAAAATTTTCTTTGTGAACATTTAGCACATTTAACTTAACCCGTTCAGGACCAGCGTCTTGTTTACACGACACAACAATTCCACTCCTACCAGCCCAGCGTCCTGTATACACGACGGATCGATTTTGCTCCTACGAGCCCAGCGTCTCGTATACATGACATTAAAACGGAATGATTTATTTGAATTTTTTAAAGCCAGTAAATGGAGCTAAGTGGTAATTGTTTTCACATGGATTGATTCACACGGCATTTGACGTTCATGTACTGGCATTAGTTTCTGTTTGTGCTTCTGGTTTTGAAAGATTTATTGAAATAAACAAACTGGAAATCACGGCTCTTTATAAATGTGCCCATGAATTAAAGGGCATTTTTTGTTTATTTCATTAGGATTTTCTTTATTTTTCATCTATTTATTTTTTGTTTTTCTATTTTTTTTAAACTTAACATAAGCTTTCTTGGTTAATTAAAAAGTAACATTACACCATTATTACAGAAGGGGAAAGACTATAAGACAGCTTTCTCGAAGCACAATGCGTCTTGCTCGCATTTCTTGGGAAAGAGCCAGCATTTTTGCTTTTCTTATTCGATTTAATAGGTTATTATATATAATGCCTTGAATGGTCATTATATATAATGACAGACATTATATTTTGGCATATAATGCATTTACTTTACATATAATGTAATTATATACAATGTGTATATTGACGTGATCAGTAACAGATATCCCGCCAGTGGGGGGGGGGTCTTTTCCGTCATCGTTGATGCTGTTTTCGATTTAGAAAAACAGGAAGTTTTCTGATATAAACCTGATGTTACACAATGTTTGAGGATGAAATACTTCCGAGTGTCTTTTGAAGTACTGTGACATGTGTTGGGGTTATATTCAGTTTCATTCTGTTAGCCATAGCTAAGAGATCTTACTTAAAAACTTAAAAATTTGTCCAAAATCACCAGACACTCCACCTTTCAGTCTAACTGGGAGACAGTTTCTGAAAATTTACGTTGACAGAGGAGGTAATAAAGGTAGGAGAAGACACGTTCAAAGAAAAGCGAAAGTAAAACAAATACTTTGAGTGCAAAATATGCAACGTAGGAATGTGTGTCAATCTTTGTTTTGAATTATTTCATACACAGCAGAATTTTTAAACTGGAATTTAATTACCTACAGGTAATTCTTGTTTAGTTTTTTTTTTTTTTTTTTTTTTTAAATTTCGTATTTGTAATTTTTTCGCCTGTTTAATTTATTTCTATTAATGTGATTTTCTTTATATTCATACACATTAAAAACAAGTACATTAAATACACAACTTCAAAAATTGAAGTCATAATATCAAAATGCTGATTTTATACTTTTTTTTTTTTTTTTTTTGGTAAAATTAGGTTTAACTGCTGAAAATGCGCAGGCCAATGCCGACGATCCATTTCAGAGGATCCGGTCCCGTGACTGCTTCATTCTCCTGCCGCTGGTCCTTAAGGGGTTAAATCTGTAATCATCGCCAAGCAAAATGTCAACATAAAAGGTTTCCATACTCTTGTTATTCAATTTCTTATATAAAAAAGTTGTTTAGGCATTGCTGCATAAGTCATTACTCAAGTTGTCATGTCTTGATAAACATACGGCAAGAAAACAAAATATAATAAATAATGATTCGCCAAGATGACATCAGAGATATAAAATATTAGTAGTTGTAAATGTTTCTATGTAGAATGTTTTGGTTTGAGATGTATACCAAGTAGATACACAGCTACAAAGCCAAATTATTGATCACACAAATTTATGCTAAAATGATTGTTTCTTCAATAACGAGGGTATTTTATTTAGTGCTGAAATGAAATTAAGAATCGTGATTCTCCAGATGTTTTCTTACGGGATAACCAAAAAAAAAAAAAAAAAAATGTGCATGCCTAAAGCATTAAAAAAAATTCCTAAAAAAATTTTTTTGTTGGTGGCTTAAGGTCCGGATTTTAGATCATTCCAAATATTAAATGTCCGGATCTCGGACTTTGTACTGTACTTGATTTTCACAGCTCCGTTATCAAAACGGCACTAAGCTTGATGCCAAGTTTAAAGTACTGGAAAGTTATGGCTGCTTTTAATATGGCAACAAAAGGGTTCTGTAACTAACCTTTTCAAGCTTGTCTGTTTTATTAGGTGCAACAAAAAATCTGAATATAGTGTTGATTCTTCCACTAATGTTATACAACACAATTGTTTATATTAATGTGCTTGCTTCCAGATTTAGAACCTGGCCATGAAGGTATTCGCCATATTAACAGCATAACCCACCAAATAACTACTGCAGTAAAAGTATCCTCCCAGCATTGTTTTTCACTGCACAAACAAACGCTTGTCAATTTCAACTATTCTTCCAGTGCCACCTATTCACATTTTAGGCTGTCAAAATAAATCTAGCGAAAAAACCTCTCTCATAAAACTGTTCCAGTCAATCATGGTATTTTGATAGATGTTGAGGTGTTTATTGCATCATTTAAGTGATGTTAGTTCCTCTGCCCAACAGCAGATGATCCTTTACTAGATTAAGCACACTAGGGTTATGTGAATAAGGGGAGGGATGCCTTTGAGGAAGACTTTATAGGGGAAACTGATTCATATACATGTTACACATGGGGAAAACCATAAGTCACACAAGCCACCCAGCACACTGCCAGCCCATTTGCCTGGAATCAAGCCTAGGTCTGAACTACAAGTGTTCAGCGATTTGATTGTTTGGCTACTGGCGGGTGCCCAACAGTAGAGAAAATGCAGTGTTATTAGGAATGGTATTCTAGAATCAATAAACCATTTGTTGGATCAAATGCTCTTTTATTTTACAATTTTTCCCATTGCACCTCCACAAACTTTCATTTACATATAGTTTCATTTCATGCCCACTTATGCATATTTGATTGCAAGGTAATATATCTTTTCCCTGAAAAAAGATATGGCATCTTCTTCACTCCTTGGTAAATTAAAAATTGTCAACAATATTTTACAATGTTTAAATTGAAAAAAAGACTATTACGATATTACACAATTCATCAAATTTACGTCAAGTAGAAGTTGAAAATGAAAGTACCATTTTTTACATAATTTGGCAACATTTTATTACAATGTTTAAACTGAAAGAAGACTACTATGATATCATGTGGTTTGTCATATTCATGAAAGTACCATTTTGTACATAATTTGATGGTTTAACGCGAAGGCCATCATAAACAAGTAGTACAAAATTATGCATATTTTTGTAGCAAACAATTTCTGTAATACATACTCTCTGTATATACATATACATGTGTATGTGTGTTTATGTGTACTTGCTAGGAGAACTTTTACATCAGTAAATTTAGAGACTCTGAAATTGAATTTCATTTCATAGTAACACAGCCCACCAGCGGCTGAATGTTAAAGACGCTGAACACTGGTAGTTTCGCCTGAGGTTCGAATCCCGCAAATGGGCTGGCTGCATGGGCGTTTTCGTGGTTTTCCCCATGTGTAACGTGTATACGAGTCAGTTTCCCTTAGAAAGTCCTCCACGAAGGCATCCCTCCTTTTAGTCAGATAGCCCTTGTGTGCTTTGCCATAATTGAATAATCCAATCCATAGTAACACAAATCGCAAAATAAGAATTATTTAAAAAGAACATATATCGAAATTTGAATTTTAAACGAAAAAGTTCGAAGCTGAATTTGCATCATCAATAAATTTATGTAACAAAAACAGAACTTTTTTGTGCTATTGTATGCATTACTTATACCGTAACTTTGAAATGAATGGATGAATTAAAAAGAAGAGAAAAATGTGTTCTAACATAGCTGAACATCTTCTCAATTAAATTACACAGTTCATAAGAAATTTCAGAAGTGACACATTCCTTTCATACAAAATTTAACATATTGCAGGTGGTATCATAGTAAAGTAAGATTTTATGAATGGTGCATTCTCAACACAATTGGCAAGTTTCTTCCCTGGTGGAGTAAATCAGAAGAAAGAAATCGAACTTTTACTTATTTCATATTAATATTATTGTACTCATATTTCAATCATATTCATTACTATTGTTAAAGTAATTTAAATATTTCCATTATATAGATGAAGAAAAGAAGTAGAACAAAATATTATATAAATTGGGCCAAGTTTAAAATACTATAACACAACACACATATTCCTAAAAACTACTAATTTAAAATGCAAATTAAGCATTTTATTTATAAAACTACAAATTATAATAAACATTTTCCTACTCAACCAACATGATAGATGGAAAAAATTCAATGACATATCACATCATCAAGAAATGGATAAGAATTACACCCTGCTTTTTACTCTATTTTCGAGGAAAATACAGAGGGTGTTTACACATTTTTAGAATGATTTTGATAAAAAATTATCATGCATAATCTACTTATATTTCTTAATTTTAATTTAAAAACAACAATTAATTAAAAAGATACATTACACAGTTTCCATGAAAATTAGAAACAGTTAATTACTGAATATGTCTAGTCATCATGATACCACTAAATATATAGATATATCTTATTTTTTACATAAAAAATTAAGTAAGCCTATTCTGTGTCAATTCAAACCATAAGCATAATGAATTAAAATTCAACAACGAAAGAGTATTACATTTAATTGTACAGAACTTACGGATTTTCAATCATCCTCTGACATACTTTGGCCATAGTACCTAATGTCTCAGTTGTATTTTCTATTGGTAAATCTTTATTTTCTGCTACAAATCTAGTAGTTGCATCACTTAAAACTTTTAACATTGGAGTTGCGTGTGCATAAAATAAAGACATACGATTAGCCAGTTCATTTGGAACTTCTAGCTCATCATCAGAAGGATCCTAGAGAATTAAAATAGAAAATTGCAACCATGAAACAGGAAAAAAGAATAAAGTGATACAATTGCAGATAATAGTTCAAACTTATCATAAATTCACTTCCTTGTTTGGAAATTCATACAATAACGATAACATTTTGGCAGCATTAGAATAACTAAATGACAAATAGCATATAACTTATGAGTGCTTACATAAGTTATACATAACTGCAACCTATTTTGTGCAGTTTTACAGTTTTTTACAGAAGAAAAAAATGAGAATATATAATAAATATAAATAATAATAATAAATTAAACATATATATAAATATATCTATATAAAGTAAACTTAAAGCATCTAACATTAATATTAAATTGCAATCAAAAGCCACGCAATTCCTCAACAATATTAATAAATGCAATCGCATATAAGAGGTTTAACACAATATCTAAACAAATCGAAATTAAAATAAGAATTCATAGTAGAACAAACTCGAAAAATAAATATGCGAAAGGGAAAATATACAAAATATAAAAATTAATCTCCTTTTACAGAAACTCCAATTCAGAACTCATCACAGGAAAATGAATTAAAACTTCATAAAAGTCAATTAATATGTTTGAAAACATATTTTGTTCTCCCAGTTTCTTTCAGATAAAAAAACCGAAAAAAGATAAAAGATTCAGTTAAATTTTCATTTAAGACATAACAATTCATATAAAAACTGAAAAATCGAATCTTAAACGTACCAGAACTTTCCCTACAGGCTTTCAAAACATTTGGAAAAAAGAATAAAGCATAACTTTGTGAAAATTGACTACTCAAAAAATGAATGAATTAATTAATTAAAACTTTACATATTTCATTCAAAGACCTCATTCATAACCATTAAAAAAAATATTGGTCTAAAGCCATTTATATGCAATTTTGAAATTCAAATGCAATTAGAAATAAAGAGCAAAACAAATATACTTTAAACTATAAAGATTATATAAAAATATATAATAAATATTTTTTTCCAATCAAAATTGGGGAAAAAAAGGATATTTATTATATACCTAAATATTTTACATTTTCATTAGGTATTTGTCACAGAAATCAATCAATAAACCTACTCGTGAGTTTTTATTTCTTTTGATCAAGCAGAAATCTTATTTGTATTTCACACTTAATTTTTTATAGTAGAAAGATAACATTTAAAAGTGAAAATCTCTAGCTCTCTTTTTGCTATTTAATGAAACACTCAGATGATTCTGAAAAGCATGCCCAGGGTATCTGCCTTCGCCCATTTTACAAAATCCTTTATCTTCATAAAGCCCATTTTACAAGTAAAAAAAAAACTTAAACATATGAATAATCAACCAAACATCCATTAGTTAACCTACCTAACAAATAAGTCAATTGTAATTAACATTAATCCTAAACACAGAAAGAAATCATTTACTATTTATAATATCATACTCCTTTATAGTAAATATTTTAAATAAGTAACCTACTCAGGTGCTTTTTTGAATCCTTTTGTAAAGCAAAGAAGAAATTTTTATTTATCAATTATTTTACTGATCTCATAAATGACATACAGTCAAAAGTCGTTAATTCGGACACCCATAATCCGGAATGATCTATAATCTGGACGTCAAAGCTACAAACTTTCTGCGCATGTGTCGCGTTCACACATGCGCACAGGTGTTTACGAGTGCACGTAAGACCTTTACGGCTGCGAATATGTTTTTGCGCATGCGCGTTTAATGTGTAACAAATGGTATAATCTAAGCAAAAATTATTTAATTCAGTTAATGTCGCAGATTGTGTTGTTCCTTAATCTTCGAATTGGATCCGGCTCTTATTATTTTTTTTTTGCAGACTGTTAGAGAGCAATTTCATAAAAGTAAGCTTGAACTTTCGATTATGTCAATAGAATAGAATTTCCGATATATATTTACTAATATGTAATTTGTATCTACAAAGCAAAAGTATGTTTTGAAATCCGAAATCTGTTTATCAATTTCAGTTTATCAATTTCACGCTGCGGATTGGAAGTTGATCTGTCAGCACTATCCTTATCTTCAGGGCAGATGTTTTTATTTTATTTGGCTTATAATTCCTTACTAAGTGTAGTATTTCATCTCGATGTACTCTGTCTTTGATATGATTTAAATCAAGTTTCTTGTCATTATAATTCGCTTCCGATAGAGAAGAAAGTGACCCACAGGTTATTGAAAACGAAAACATTTCGATTGACAAATTAGTCGGTATTCTCAACACAGCAATTATAGGACTTGAACAGCGGAACTTTGTAACTAAACAAGAAATTATGTCTGTTTAATAGAATTAAAGAGAAAGTACTATCACATGAAACGAAGCAACTTACATTGAAAGAAATGTTTAATAAAGTAAACAAATAAATATTAAGCTTTTTCTTTTTGTAAATTTTGATACCCTTTAGATCATAATTGTTCTTTATTTCATAAATTATGGTTTCATATTTTTAATTTTGTAATTTCTGCATGCCATCTTACCAGATTTAAACTAATGATCTATAATCCGGAATCGCCGAAGTCCCGATGAGTCCGGATTAACGACTTTTGACTGTATTGTAATTAATAACAGCAACATATTCATATGCAACACAGCATTCACTAATTTTGCTATTAATAATATTTTCTTTTAAATCTTTTAGCTTTTCGTGTCAGTATATTCTACTTCATTAGGGCATATTTAAACCTAACTCAAACTGGATATTCATAGAGATCAAAGAACAAAATATTCACATTGTACTCTTACCTGATTAGCTAAACGTAGCCTATTTACAGTTCTTCTGTAATAGCTAAAATCATTCTGAATAGCTGGGTTGGTCATCTAAAAAGATAGATAAAATACTATAACATGGTTAAGTATTTCTGCAAATTTAAAAAAAAAAAAGTAAAATTTAATAATAAATGAAAAAAGATAACTCAGACAATGTATGCTGAATATTAAAGAAGAAAGACTATTATAGTTAGGATAGGATAGGATGTGTCATTTCGTGAAAAAAAGTCATGTTTAATGGATGAAGAAAGTAATCATTATACAAGACAGAAACTTTAAAAAGTCTTTACTTAGAATTATGTAATTTAGCATTTGTAATGAATATTATTGACAATGATTGCTTATATCAACAGCAATTTAGAGGAAGAAACTGCACCACCAACTTAAAAAACATGATGCTTTAGATATCTAATACAGATCTTATATAAGCTAACTTTTGAATGTAAAAAAGAAAGCATCCTCTAAACAAAACGAGTTAACAGGGATTTAAAAATAAAACTGTTAATTAAATTTATGAATTATATTAAAAATTTCTTTTGATAGTGGATAATAAGGCTATACAATTATGGAAAGACAAAGTCTGATACACAAAACTGGTAGCAGTTGCCAAGGCAGGTTGAACACTTTTTTATTATTGTTACACAACCAGGGTTCGTACACATTTCTGCACATGGAAATTCAATTAAAAATGGTATAAATTCAATTAAAAATATTATCAATGCCTGAATTTCACTTTTGTAATACCATCCTAAAAATAAAATAGATCCGCAAGTAGTATGCATTATTACTAAAATGAATTAATTAACATAATTATTAATAAGTTAGAGAATAAACTTTATGCAATTCATCAAGTAGCATTAAATATTTTACAGTTATAACAGTTGAACATATTTGAAAGAAGATAAGTGACATTTACTTTTTACTAGCTTTATGTTGATTTTTTTATGCTCATTTTGTCACATACACTCTCGCTAGTTTCTGCGTGCTTTATCTCCTAACTTGCTAACCTCTCCACAATGTACATATGAGGGTTTACTTGATCTGGTAAAAGTTAAATAATGCGAAACCCCCGACAGACATGAAGCAAATTATCGCTACGTCTGAAAATAACTACAATATCAAAGGCTTAAATAAGCCTCTTTTTTAAAAGAACTTAGAACATAAAGGCATGTTTTCTAATGCTAACAAAATCAACTACAGCTCACGGTGACATAATTAAACAAGAACAGTCAAATTCAAACTAAAAATGTGGACTAGTGGTCAAAGAATGCATAAATTTCAAATATGAAGGTTAGGTAAAATTATAGTTCGACTTTTTTCTTTCTGGCCAATTTTAGATTTCAATTCACAAATTTTAAAATTATTATTATCTAACTAAAATTGGATAATGATTATGTAAGTGCAAATTATTTAAGTGCGTTGTATATACAAGGTCTATCCCGAAAGTAATGCACTCATTTTTTTAAAGAAATTTATTCAACCGATTCTTACAATTACTCTTTGAAATACATTCCTCCTGCTTTAACACACTTGTTCCAATGCAATTTCCATGCTTTATATGCATCCTGGAAGTCCATCACATGGATATCCTTTAGTAACTTCATTGTAGCGACCTTGATGTTTTCCAGGGTCCCTAAATGCTGTCCTTTGAGGGATTTTTTAATCTTCAACAATCAAATCTCTTTTTTAATCTTTGATCAAAAGTCTCCAATGGCATTTTCTCAAGTTTGAAACAAAACTTTTCGTGTATTGCTGCTTGAGAGTTTTTTCCATCTTGATTTCAACTAAGCACTCACACAAGGGTTTACTGAAACAGGCACTGTGACTCTCCAGGAGCTCGGAGCCGACTGATGCTGGTCGTGCTGTGTTCCCAAGACTCTACCCAACCTTTCGTGCAATCAACAATGCTGTGCGACAGATAGTCATGGCAAAAGAAAATGGGGTACATTACTTCTGGGACAGAACCTTGTCCGTATATATGTGTATGTGTATATTTTAGAGGTTCACAGTCATGGTACGTTGATAGAATTTAGTCAAAAGCTGTGTAGAGAAGATGAACCAAATTCCCTTTTTAGTCATGGCCAAGAAAAAACTGTTGCATAGATAAAACTGGAGGGAAAATTAAAACTAGCATGATCGTTAAAACATTATTTTCATTCTGAACAGGAAAAATTCTTTAGAGATACATTTTTCCTTAAACTGGTACAACATGAGGTATGCTAAAGATGCCCCACAATTTCTATATCTGTAGTTTACATTTTAGATAACAGAAAAAGAAGTATAGAAAAAGAGACCTGACTTTCTTAGGCAGAGCAAGAAGGTGAAAAAAGTTATACATAATAACTGCAGTAGTATTTATAAGCTCAGAAAGTCTTTGTTTTAATATTGAGCAATGATTGGATAAAGGTTTTTTGCTAAACAAAGTTTTTATATTTGTCCCATTAAAATCATTTTCTATATTACAATAATTATTTTAGGCTAGCCTCACAAGCGGCTAGTATTTCAAATATATGTACTTAAAATACTTGCTTTTAGATCATCAAATGTTAATACAAAATCCAAGATCTCAGCAAACTGCTTCACAAGTGCTTGCTGCATCTTCAGGTGTTCAGTGGGGGTTAAAGGTCCAGAACTCAACTCCCATAAAATACGAGGTACAATGGCATCTGTAGGCAGAATCATATAAAATATATATAACTTTCACTATCTGTTCAAGCATATATATATTTTTAAATGAATTACTGTGCACAAATAAGTTCACTTCATAAATATATTTATAAACTAAAACTATTTTGATTAAAAAAAAATTTAAAAAGCTGCAAACTGATTCAGACAGTATTTTAACAATTGAAAGCTCATATTAACTTGCATCCTTGTGATGTTAAACAAGCAAGTCAATTGAAAACTCACTATATATAAAGAATGAAAGATATTGTTTATCTAACATATGCAAACTAAACAGAAATTATAAAGCTTTCTGAATTCCATAAATGCAATTTTGCTCAAATTTAGATTACATGGAAAATCTACATATATTTCTCTTCTGTTAAATAAAAATAATACTTTCTGTGTCGCTTGGTAGAAATAAATCTTTAACTTTAATTAAAACTTAATTAAACAAATATTTCAATTTTTAAAAACATGATTATTTGTGTCCTTTCATGCGTCTTCATATATATTAAACACTTAACTCTCCATTTTAATTTGGCTATTTCTCCTTTTTGTCCTAAAAATAGTAATTACTTATAATAAACCTTTGCAAACTCCATCATTTCAAAATTAATCATTGTAATATGATTCTTGCATAATAATAAAAACACATACTTATGAAAGGCTTCAGTCAATAATAATTTCAAATTTGGGAACCAAAACTTACTATTAGATCACACAGACAAATTCGAACTGAAATTAAATAATTCTGAACTTTTCATCTTGGATGTGTAGCATCGTCTCTCTTATTTTGATACTGCCAATTTGCTAATGCCTGCTATTGCTGTTTCAAATGCATTTCAGAAATCTATAAGATGCCAACGTACTTCTTCAAAAACAGATTCACGCTTTCTGCGCCAAGTTCAGTGAGGCTACACATATCAACAATAAAGGAAATGTTCAACCAGCCTCGATGACTGCTATGTTTTTATGCATCAACATCTAAACCATGTGCATAATTTTCTTTAACTTCTTGTTCTATTCCATGTGCATAATTTTATTTAACTACTTGTTCTTGTTTATTAAGAAGTACAGATGCATAGATTCCTCGATTCTTTTTCTGTGATTCATTTTATTACATTGATGAGGAATCTATTCTACAATTCACAAGAGGAATCTATAGCTCATTGATTGGAAACAACTTCCTATTCTACAAAACAATTTTGGCTTTTCTGATTATCTGCACTCCTATGAAAAACATTCACAAGGCAATGTGTTATGTCATTAAAACAAACAACCTCTGAAGCTATCAAAATGTATTTATGTGGCAACTCAGGTAGGTAAAAAAGTGCAGCCAGTATGGCAAACAAGCAGGGATTGCCCCTTTCAAATTTGAGGGTTATTAGTGTTTGTTTTTGTTGCCTTGAGGGCTTTTTTTTTTTTTTTTTTTTTTCTGAAAAGGAATCCTAATGAGAACATGGAGTTTACTGGTTGATGACTAAGAAGCGTCGCATTTCTTTAGAAATATGGAATTTGCCCCAACAGTAAAAATTCGCATTCCATGAAGTTGTACTTCATAAACAACTGAATTTTATGGATTCACTAGTACAGAGTTTGTACAAAGCTCTATTTTATTTAAAGCAAAAACAGATAGTGTACATGGGAAGAAAAGTGTAAAAAGAATTACATAAGTATTTCTTTATGGTTTTTTCCAATTGTATTGACTAATTGCTCTTTTATTAAATTTTTCATGTGCTGCCGTTTTCAAAATGGATGATGCCTTTTGCATATCAGCTTGGTAAAAAATTAGCTGTCAACTTTTCTGGGTAGAGTAGAGATAATCAGAAAGTAACAAAATTTTTATTTAGCATATAGCGAAAACAATAACACCTTGTTTCAGGTATTTCTAACTACTGCAGAATCAAGGACAGTAAAATTTATTATTGAATCTTTAAATAATAAAATTATTTCTAAGAAACAATTTGGAATGAAAAATGAATGATACTCATAAAGATATTTAAATGTGAATGCAACATACTATTATGAATCTATATATCAAAATAATTTAAATGATGTTACTAATGCATTACCATTAATTGATATTATTTAAAAAAAAGATTACCAATAAATACGTATTAGACATCAAGTCAGGTAAGTTTTAGCATTTATATGATTGGATATATATATTCAATATTAACCTCAAATTATTATCTATCTATTACGTTCAGCTAAAATCACAACATTTTATTCACATATTTTTTGATATCACATAGCAGATTAAAAAAATATCACATACGCACAATAAATAAATAATAATCAATAAATTATGTTCCTCCTCTCCACCAAAATATTTTAAATGGAAAAGTAAAGAGCAAGAAAAAACTCAACAAATATCATGTATAAAACTTCCATTAATATTAACACTGAAAAACTTCAAAAAATATTTATGAACAAAAAAGTTAAATAAATAAATAAAATAAAAATTACCCAGCTTTTGGGAAAATTCATAGAATTCTCTGAGTTTTAACACTAATGGTATCACAGCTTCCCAAGCTCTCACTTGGAGCTCTTCATTGTGAGGTTTTGCTATAGCCTAAACAGAAAAAAAGAAAAGTTGAAGTTTAAAACCATTATAATATATTACATATTCGATCAATACACTTAACTAAACTCTTAGCACATTCAGTTTTGCTTTCACAATGGCTTGCCGGCTTTGTCAGCTGGTACTCAAATCACATCAAACTAAACTCATCAGTTGGCAAAACAGAACATTATTTAAATTCCAACTGATGAGGTATGCATGTGACTTGCAGAAGCTCCAATAAAATTGAATACGCTAATATAAATTTAAGCAACGTTTTACTTTGATGTGTTTCGCTTCTCTCTTTAGCATTTTATAAGTTAAAACTTGAATTTTTCAAAAGAATAGAAGATTGGAAGCATGAAAGAATTTCAAATAAATCAGTTTACATAGGCAAAAGAGGGAAATCTAAATTAACTTAGAACGTAAACACTGCAATCAAGATAACAAAAAAATATATCCATCTATATATGTAAAGAAGAAAATCTGCGTGTGTTTGTTCACTAATAATTCAGTCACTACTATAGCTATCAACACCAAACTTTCCACAATTCTTTTTTGGGTCTTGGAAAAGGTCGATGTCCACTCCCCCCCCCAATAGCCAAAATCAGAGATATTAATTACAAACTTGGAAAAAATTATAATTTTCACCATCATGTTTTCGAGTGGCAACAGTCTCGCAAGCTGCAGATGAAAATCTGCTTTATTTCGAAAGTTGTTGCCACTGCTCGCTTTCAAATCCTACAGTTTGTTAATAAAAAATTTGTAAGTTTTACAAAATCTATACATATAAAGAAGAATGTCTGTTTTTTTTTTTTTTTTTTTTTTTTTTGTTGTTGTTGTTGTTGTTGTTTGTGTTATTGATTTTTGATCAATTATGATAAATTTTTTGCCTCATTTAATCGACTAAAATTGAATATATAGTGAAATATTGGATGAAACTTGAGTTTTTATGATCAATTGATTAGGAAGATGAAAATAATTAAAAACTGCATGTCATTTCTGCTGATATAATGAGAGAGAATTAGCTTATTTTTCTATTGAAATTTTTTATGTGGGTTCCATATCACATCAGACTGAAAAATGTATGACTATAAATCGTATACTTTGCATCATTATTAGAGTAGGATTACAGAGGTATTGTGCTGTTAGATGCATTACTCTCAATTTAACTTAAGTGGCATCGGGTGCTGCCGCTAGTAGTGAAATAATTTGCAGATAAATGGCACAATTTTGCTGACAGATTTTAATGCTACATAATGCAGTTCTTAAAATTTAATCCCTAAATCAATTTATGATGATTAATTATATCTTAATTTTGTATTTATTTGCAATTTTTAACATAAGTAAATGTTTTGCAGGTTCCCTTGGCATCTAGCAACAAGTACAGTACACAGTACTTAATATGTTATCATTCAGATATTGTTATCGATTTGCTAAAGTTATGCTTCCTTATATACAAAAACGTGGAAAATACATCGTTAATTTTGATCAGCAGTTCGGTTAATATGATAAAACTATTATATAATAAGTTTCCTAAAGTCCCTAAATAAGGTCAAAGTAATGATGTAAAAACTGCCAAATTTTATTTGGAGTGTTAATTACCATTGATGAAATTTTATATAACTACACTAAAAGTTTCCTATACAGAGTACAAATAAAATTTAGATGTTTATGTATTAACTGATGCTTGGAACTTTCGTTGGCACGAAGGTATGGTGATAATCCGTAACAAGTATAATGTCATTTTGCTACAACCACGTCATCTTAAAGCCATTTTGTTTAAATTCAGCTTTGTTCTTGCTCTATCAGCTTTAACATGCTTAGCACTCATTACTTTGCTGACAAGTCTTAAGAATTTGCTAAATGATGAAACAGAAGCTATCAATATTTTTCAAAATTATGGATTGCTGGACAGTTGAAAATTTTCTCTCCCAAAATGATATTATACATTACTATAGAAAACATGTTGTAAAATGCAACAATGACTAGTGAAAAAAATATCTAATGTAAAATATAAAAAAATATATGAAAACAAAAATATATAAAATGTATTATTATCTATCATAATTGTATATAAAAAAATATCTAATACACCACACGACTTCCTTGTACGAAATATTAAATTATACATATTTTGATGGCATTTCATTTAAACTTATTTCCTTGAATTTCATTAGAGTTATATTTCTCATTCAATTATTTCAGTTCTAACTTCGTGGGAGGGCAAAAATATACAAAACCTCAAAATATCTTTATTAAAAATTGAAAAATATAGAAAAATATAAAACACCAAATACAGTTAAAAACAATTTAAAGAAAACACTTTTTACAATTAAAATTACAGTGTCTATGCAAAAACAACCAATTCAGCCAGCAGGTAAGAAGGCAGATTTTTTGGAACATTAAACAACATTAACAACACCAGCATTGTAAGCAAACCATATTACACTGACTTAATACAAAACAGAATACAATGCTTATATAAACCTACATATACTATATCATGCATTTTTAACATTCTGTAAACACAGAAGTTACTATGATATTTACCTGTTAGATAGATCATTTTTACCAAGTTGCTATATCATAATGTATAGGATGTCACCTAAATAGAATTTATTCACATTTTATACATATTTTTGAAAAAGAAAAATCAATGAGGTTGATCTGTCATTCTGAGTTTGGTTTACGAGATCATTTCTTCTAAGAATACTGCTTAATTCATACTAGTGTTCTAAATTAATCCACTCTACTTATGGCATATTCTTTATTAAGTGCATTTGAGCTGCAGATTGAAATATAACTATTCTGACCTGAATTATTAATTTAGATTTCCTAACATTAACTAAAAAATGATAAAGACTAGCATTAATTTTTTATATGATGCAATATATTTAGCTACTTGTGTCTCACTGCCTCCCCGGTCTCTTTATGCCACCCAAATCAATTTATTTACCTATTTCAACCTTAAGGCATTTTTTGAACATTTTTATATAGAGGATTAGATGTTCTGAGAATTACTCCTCTTGTACTACACCACACTGGCCAAAAAGGAAACAGTGAAGCTAAATACGAGAACATCCACTTCATCCTAAAAATCTGGAACAAAGACAAACGTTCATTACGATGAGCCTGAAAGGGAAATTTCTACCATTCTACCTTGGAATGCTCTGCCTAACATCTAACCTACCTTTCTTCAAAGATAAATCAGCCATGAAAAACCCATTAAAATAAATTGTAACCATCACTTTACTTTTCCAAATCCTCTGATTTTGAGAAATATTATCAATGACTGAGAATAGCAGGATAACTTGTACCTCTATTTATCTTCTATTAGGAAGATCTATTGGTGCAGAGCAAAAGACTACTCTCACTACAATTATAACTCATACTAAAGATTTAAAAATACAATACATCTGTTTATACTAAATGAACTTTAAAACTGCTAAGAGGAAAAATAACTAATATTAGACAACCAAGACTGTGCAATAAAGAACATTTGATCACAATGAAAATTGATGATTTACTTCACGTATTGCATGTCCTGCTCCTTGATACAGTTGCAATTCTAGAAGAATCCGCTTGGAATGCTGCAGAACTTCATGAACAATATTATATGTTTCTTCTTCCAACTGTGTTGGTTGAGCATCTACGTAAAAAAGAAATAAATAAATGAATACATAAATTTTGAATTTCTTTTAAATACATACATTGCATAATTCCTTTCATTTTCTTGCGTTATAATGTTATGCATCAAATGTAAATTGTCAACTGTTTAAATACTCCATTGGCAACATTAAGAACAGAAAATTATGAAATCAACTTGGTGCACTTTTATTATACTCTTACATAAAATTTTTGAAATTTTATGTAAGAGTTTTTAATGGCAGTTTAAAAGAAAGATTATTGCAGTTAAAAGTTTTAAATAATTTTTAACTTAGGAAAAAAGAAGTTACAGAAATAACTTCAAGAACAAAAAAGGACACACAAACAAAAAAGGGGTAGAAAAGTTGCATAATTTTTATTTATTTTGTGTGAGCAGAAATGCTAAAAAAAAAATCAGTCTCCAGGAGTTGAGTCTGAGACCTCCGGTTGCTAGCTGAATATGCTGACGACACAGGGTGAATGTGAACAAGTGGACAAAACTTTAGGGGGTGACAGAAGGCAGCTTATATGAGCAATATTTGTCATAGAATGTATGACAAATAAATTGTCAGAACACAAGCGGCGAAAAGTTAAAGGGTAGTTTTCTACCGTCACATTTAGAGAATTAGCACAAGAATGAGACTTCAGAAAACATTTTATTAACAATAATGTAATTGATGTTATATGCTCAAAAGACCTTCCGCCAGCTGTAATGCAGGCTTCACATTTGCAAAGACACTAGGCATTTCCCAAGTATCACTAGCAACAACGGCAAACCTGATGACTAGATCCATATTCAATTCAACGGGCATTCATAGATTAAGTTTTCATATGGCCCCACAGGATAAAGTCCAAACATGAGAGATCTGGTGATCTTGGTGGCCAAGCTATGAACCACCTCGACCAATATATCACTCTGGAAATTTCATTATTTGTATGACCAGCCAATGTCTCGGCAATCCAGGGTAGAAACGGTGTTGGGTGCAAGGATTGACTCTTTTTATACCATTTACAATGCCACCTAGTGGTCGCCATTTGCTTTACGATCATACATTCTATGACGAATATTGCTTGTATAGCTGCCTTCCTATTACCCATAAAGTTTTGACCACTTGTTCAGATTCGTCCGGTGTATCACAAAGAATACCTTTAATTCCTTACACTTTCTTCCATTTAACAGACTAGCAGCATGTGCAGCCAACTGCCTAAAATAGTTATCTTAAAATAGAAAAAATGGAGTTCAACTATTGTAACTTCATAAAAATATTTACTACTTCTAATTAGATCTCATTTAAATGCATTTTTATTTAAATCAATCAGATTAAAAAGTACAAATATATCTAACCTACCTTTCTTCAAAGATAAAGGTCAGCCATGAAAAACCCATTAAAATTGCATTTATCAATAAATAGTTCATTACTCAATAACAGATAGATTAAATGCAAAAATTAAATATCTTATACTTAACTAAATGACAACATGCTGGCAAGTGGAAGATAAAAGTATTTTATTTCAGACATTGGCAACGCATTGCTTTAAAATAGCAAAACTTGTTGATTAAATTTGGAAGATGTACATCTTACACTAACCTGACAAAAGAGTTCACAACAAATAGCCTAATCAAAGGCTTCTGAGCTCAGTTTCGTGAACAGTTTGAAATTTCTTAGTAACTATATATATGCAGGTGCTATAAAAGAATTACATCTTGCATGCAAATGCATTATAAAAACTATACATGCTAAAATTTGATGTACACATATTTACATACACTGGCTCATTAAAAAAAATGTTTCACAATCATTTATTACATAGAATGCCATAGTAATAATTTCCACCTGCAGGTTACCGTACCATACAAAAGTTTGGTAACGTTTAGACTATATTCTAAATTATATTTTTTAAATAATTTACAGAAGATTTACATGTTTTGTACAAAAAAAGGATCTAAATATTGCAATAATATTGAAATATGATCACCAATAAACATCAATTCTGTTGTTTTTATTGGTCTTGCCTGCCTTGTTTCTATTTTTAAAAAGTATATAAAACACAGAAATTATCAAAATTTTTTTTTAGATACTAAAGCTGGATGTGAACTTTATCAAATGATATAAAAAAACTGATATTTGCATAAAAAAAGTTTTAGAATTAAAACTAGACATAAGATATTTGTAGTTACATTCAGGCCATTTTGACAGGTCACAACATCTTTAGCGAATGGCAACAGTCTGATACAGCAACAGTCCAACAGCATTGCAGATGTTTGATTTTGAACAATACTGGGCCTGCTCATTTTAAAATTGGCAAATGTGTTAATCAGAATTCATCAAATTTGTACGAAACATGAAATAAATAAATAAATAAATAAAAATTCAGATGGAAGACTACAAGTGTTCAGAATTTGGTGGCTCTAGGTGTCACCATTTTTCCACAATGTGAGGAACACACAAGCAGACATACAGATTCTTCATTATTTAACTGAAGAAATAAATGAAAGGAAGAAAAAAAAAAGACTCGGTCAAAAAATCAAAGTAGTAATGGAATCACTATACGCCATTTTTTAGTTTGTGTCACAATAGAATCTGAGCAGAAATCTTGAAAACTCAAGCTATGCTGAACTCAAACATTCTAAATAATAACTAGACCACTGCATCATAATATGAGAGAAATATCTAATTCCTTACCAAGTTATTAAAATAAACAATCTAATGGTAAAAAAGATAAAAATAGCAAAGCTAAAAACAAAATTAATAAAAAAATTAAGAGCTTGGTAAATTATAGTAAATAACAGTAGGATAACTTATATATACTATTATGGACTTTATAAGTATATATTTTCATGTATCTATATTTGAACAATTTTTAACCAATACTACTAAACTCATTTTTATGCAATCTTATATTTTTAATAAATAATTTTAAAATATATTGAAGACATCTGCATTGAATAAACCATTCTTTACTTAAGGTCAGTTTTGTAATAAAAATGAAACAAGTAAAAAATTTTTTAAAACCATTTACCTTCTGAATTTACATATCCTCTATATTTCTTCATTGTTTCCTTGTCAGTTAAAACATTTATTTGTCCAATGCAGCAATTTGCCTAAAGGACAATTAACTTCATTTTGGCATTTTGCATTGGTTCACTGTAAATATCAGTTCACTTTTCAAATTGTAGTCATCAAATATTAGAGCCTTGTATTATAGTTGATGACATTAAAAAATGAAGAATCTGCATAAATGTATGAATGTTTCTTGAAATGTGATAAAACAGCTGTACCTAGAGCCATCAAATTTTGAATATTGATCGTTTCCACCTGAATATGGGCATCTGGAAGACCAAATTCAGAATTTCAAATTTGTTTTATTATCTATTTTCTATTATTTAATGAATTTTTGATTAACAAAGTCAACGATTTCAACGTGAGCAATGACAACACTGTATGGAAAAAATATTTTTATCCCCAGAATGTGAGAGTGTGTATCAGAAATTCTAAAGCTATGCTCATTTTAAAATTATTTTGCGATATTGATTTTGAACTGAATTTTAGACTTTAGTGTGAAGAACATGATATTTAATAAATAAAGGTATGGCAAAATGTTAAATAAAAGGCCTCGTTGGGTGTAATTATTTATTTAAAAAAATTTTTTTTATGCTCTCTTCAGAGAACTCTGCACCAGTGTTGATGGCCAGTTATTCATGGATGTTTTTGAATTCTCCAATACTAATACTTCATTTCTCATGACATTTGTTCAAAACTCTCATCTATGTGAATTTAGAGCTCAAATGGTTATACTGAATGATCAGTGTTTAGATGTAGTAGATCCGAGCAATTCATCAAGGATGTTTTCCCAACCTTCCTTGATGAATATCCTCAACTTTCACAGTTCTTGCTCTTAAAAGCCGGATGACTGATCACATTTCACAGTCAGTGGAGTGCTCAAATTTCTTGAAACATTTCAAACTCACACTACAAAGCATATAGTAGACAAATGCTGGGAGAACGTCAAATGAAGAATTTCGGGTGCACATGCACTCATTTATTTACACATGCACAAAATTTCAAACATTTATAAATGGACTTTACTTAAAATTTAACCTGTGTATAGTGTTTCAAAGTAATGAAACTGCCGAGATAACTTTAATTCTTATTTCAGCAAAATGCATTTATATAAAAAACAGATATTTGTAGATTTTCTTATTACAAGAAATGTTGGTGCTGTTAACCACGGATTATTAATTTACCAATGTAGCGAAAAGCATTTCCAGCAAGCCTTTATGTTTAGTTTTTCCTCGTGAAAACTACTAAGTTGCAATTTAAATTCTTCATCTCTTTTTTTAGATGGGAAAATATAATAAAAATCTGCTATTTACAATAAACGTTATTCAAAATGGCATATACCATTTTCAACAACACACAAATAAAATTTGAAGAATAATGTAAAATGGCCATAACATTATGAAGGTGATGCAACATTTCTAATTGGGGAGGGGACTGACTGAAAACTGAATTACATTTATGAATAATTTTTGCTCTTGAAACCATTGGTTCTTACTTTTCCCCTTTCCATATTTTTAAGTGCAATTTTTAATACATTAGAATTAAATAAACCTACAATTAACATTTTTTGGCTGATGTCTAAAACTGACAGCCATTTGATAGCATCAAAAACACCAGGGACAGGAAAATATATAAAGTATCAAATAACAGTGTTGCAAATTAATGCAGCTAAATTGTCAAATTTATATATCTAATAAATACAGAATTTTTAAAATTCTGAGAAAATAAAACGTGTCACGTTCCTTAAGGCACAAATGCAACTATGTGAATCATACATAATTTAAATATATAAAATTATAAGACACTTATGTATTATCGAAACATTTTCGCTGCAATGCTACTTAATTTTCACAATGTGCTGAATTCTGAGAACCATACATATAACTATTCTTCAGGCAACTACGCTCATAACACCTCTTCAATCAAGCAGTTGTTATTTTTGTATGCATTTGGGGGGTATAAAATTCAATTTTAAAACATGCACTGTGGAAGTCAAACAACAAAAATCAGCGTTATATTTACAAAATTTTCACAGGACTAGTTTCGATGGTTTTAAACGCTGATTTTTATTGTTTGATTTATGCTTATGTTTGACTAGTTTCGATGGCTTTACGGAACCATCATCCTCAGCTGCAAAACCGCAATTGCGGTTTTGCGCTTTTGCAGCTGAAGGATGGTGGTTCGGTAAAACCATCGAAACTAGTCCTGTGAAAATTTTGTAAATATAACGCTGATTTTTGTTGTTTGACTTCTGAATTAGTATTTATTCAGCGTGTTATTGTGTCTTAATGCACTGTGGAATTTGCCCTCAATGGAAAAAATCTGCTGCAACCTTTTCTACAGGAATACAGCATTTGCCATAAAAAGGTAAAGGCAATAATGATCAGATTATCTGGGATATAGCCTGTGCACAGTGGGGAGTTTGTGCAATTCTGATTTTTTTTTTTTTTTTTTTTTTTTTTTTTTTTTTTTTAAGCAAAAATCATTTTATACATACTGAGAAGAACAGCATAAAAATTACAGAAGAATTTTGTGAAAAATGTGTTTTATTTCTTAATGTAGCATGCAATCTTTGCTTAACAGCTGAAATTTGTATTTTCAATTGTTAAAAGTTTATTTTACTTTGGTATGTGGATGATGTTTGCCGACTTATAACAAAAATTAACACTAGGAATCTTTCAAAAAAATGCACAAAAACTGCTAGATGGCATCCAACAAATAATTCATATTTTTTCAGTAGTAAAAAAAGCACCAGACTGCACTTAGGTGGTTGCGTTAATATGTTAGCAACAATTATATTAATATTTACATAGCTCATTTTATTTATATCTCTTCAAAATATTAAAAGATTGCATTTATTTAAATGATGAAATATTAAAATTAATAAAATTACATTAACATTTAAATAATAGATGCCTTTTTTCACTCCTATTCATTTAAAATATTTTAAAGATATATTTTGCCTTACTTAAATGATTAAATATTAAAATTAATTACAGATTAATATATATAATAAAGTAAAATAAATTTGATTAACTGAGTAAATTAATTTAAATCATAAAATGTAATTTAAAATTAAAAAACAGAATGTGGGCATACTTTCAAAATCAACAAAGACATCATATTTTGGCGTATCATCCCTCGATAAAAGTCTAAGAAGGTTTCCCATTCAGGACCAAAACAGTACTTCTGAAAACTTAAAAAGGAAGTAAGTTATAATTCTGCAACAAAAGCAGGCATATTAGAAAAACAAGCAGCAATCTGTATTAGTATTACAAACTAGATAAAACTATATAAACTATATAATTAAAAAAATTTTCACCATGTAACTTAAAGAATTAGTCACTTCCTTCATGAAATAACAGTGATGAAATTGCATAACAGACTTCAAGTTCCCGAAGTCAGTACTTAATAGAATTTAAAGATTGTTTTGTCCTGAATCTAAGATGACCCTACACTTCTGAATGATTTTAAAAGAAAAACTGCAGCATCATTACAGGAATACTTCACAAACAGCAGATTGGTATATTAAAAGATGTACTAAAAAATAATTATTAAACAATTTAACTATATTCTGAAGCAAAACTAAGTAAACATGCTTCGCCTTAAAATAATTTTTTCATGTGTCTTTAAAATGCTTCACAGCATAATTAGCAAAAGTGCTTTTAAAGAAAAGAGTATCATCTTGTATTCAGACAGTATGTAATATGTGCTAGTCATACGTATCATAAACACTACTTAAAATAAAAAATCTGTTTTAGAAACTGAATCACCATTCAACCTAAGACTAATAATATGCATATTTTAAATATGTGAAATGATTCTTTTAAAAAAATTATTCAAGAACAACAAAATTCCAAAGCCACTCATTTCCAGTACTTTAAATCAACTTTCTAAATTTCTCATACCTAAAATTAATTGCTTCCCATTTAAAATAGCGAAGTATAAAATTTTTGCCTAGGGGATAACACATCTTTACTGCGCATCAAATGTTGATTTTACACTGTTCCTTGCCGGCAGAGATGAAAGAATTGAAACAATCCTCAATCACTTTCTAAAATTAAACATCAGAAATATATACTGTAATACATGCACCTTTCAATAATGTTATTTTCTGCCCTTAACCCTAGAATTTATCTCCCCCCCCCCTAAAAAGAGAACCAAACTAGCTTCACTTTTACTAACTGGATTTCCATTATATTGGAAAATTTTAAGCTGATGAATTATTTTAATGCAATTTAAATATTACAAATTTACAACTGATCAGAAAATGATTGTCAAAATTAATTTGATTGGAAATATTAGCCTTTTAAATATCATAATAATATGATAAACAGTAAATATTCAATTCTTATGCATACAAGGCTTAAATTCTTTGTAAATAAATTCTATGGTTGGTACGGGCTTAATAGCTTATTTAAATTTTGTTCAATAATATACACCGAAATCTACAGCGCTCATTTATTCAGATATATATGTTGTAACTGAAAAATTTTTACCTTATTATCAAGTTTTATTTTAAGCACTTTTAAACTGATTTCATGGATGTTTATTAAAATATCATTAAATAAAAATCAAACATTTGATTTTGAAAATTTTGAACTATGCAGTAATAATTATTTTAGAAATTTATGTACAGAAATTATTGCAATAAGTTGATAATTAAAAAAAAATACAAACACATAGTTCAACATTATTTATTTGAATCAATCATTAACATTAAAAATTTCTAAAATGTGCCTTACATATTTCAGAAAAAAATATTAAAGTTATAAAATGAAATATTTTAACCATTACAAACATCTGCAACTGAAATTACATAAAAACTAGACTTAAAAATTTGGACTAATAAAAGCAGCATAAAAATGTCTATAGTCCCAAGTTTTATAAAGATTTTTTGCAGTACAATAATTATAATGAATTACAGAAATAAACAATGCAGTTGCTACATACATATTACAAACAACTGCTGAATTCATGTTTGTAACAGGATTAGCAATTGCAACTGACTACAGATTTATCAAGATATTAAAATTTAAAAAAAATAAATAAATAAAGATTTAAACAAAGATTTTTTTGTTAGTTACATATTAGTTTAGTTATTTGCTAGATACAAAAATAATATAATGAAATATCACTAACCATATCACAAATAAAAGATTAAGATTTCAATAGAAAAGACAATGGTCACAAACTTGGAAACCAGTAAAAAATTAAATAATTTTATCAATTTCTTTTTTAAATTTAAGTGATATTCAATTATTTATTATATTTCACAAAAATACAGCTCAAATATCTAAATCATCATCTGGATCTTCTTCATCATAAAAATCATCCTCAAGCACATTTTCAAGGATATTATTATTGGCAGACTGCACTTTTGTGTATGGTAATTGAATCTGATTACGAGCCTCTTTCTCTTCCTCTTTTAATCTTAAGTTAAACGTTAAATTAGCAGTTGGATCAGGTTTCTTCACAGGAGCTGCTTTATTTATAATTTTAACATCAGAAAGTAAATTAAACTTGTAATTTGGGGAAATTTTATATTCAACACATTTACTTGAAACTTTTCCACTAGAATAGTGCACCGTAGAAAGCAATGTGTTATCAGCATCCAAAGGAACTTCTAAAACAGTGGTAGCGATTCTTTCCAGTAGGTTTATATCACGACGATTATGAACATTGCAGTACAGCAAAGCTAATATCTGTAAATTCGAATTGTTCCGCAACATCCTATGCAACACTTTATACATTTCTTCAATTCCATTATGAATTAAAAACGATGACAGTGAATACATACAAATAACGCCTTCAAAATTAGTGAACTGTTCCTCAAATTTCTCAACAGATAACCATGCAATGCTGTTTGAATTATTCCAACCCAAAGGATCAGAATATACATCTAAAATTTTCACTTTGTCATGATTTTTTAAACCATGCATTAACTCTGTACTCAAACCATCGCAGCATAAAACAGACATGTTACATTCTTCTTCACAAAATATCTGCATTATCGTTTTATATAATTTCAAACCATTCATAGTACTATAGTCCTTGATAATGAAAAATTTCGCTTTAGCATTTTTACAAAGAGTTTCTTTTGTAAGATACATGGCAGATATTAATTATTATTTTCACTACTGAAACGCAAACAGAAAATTCAGTAGTGTACTAATGCAACATGCACTTATTTACATACACTCCTATTAAAAAAAATCTCAAGCAAATATAAGCTAAACAATTAACATAGTTAATAACTTACAACAATAATTTTGATTCACACTGCGTAAATGTGTCATAAAAATATTCTTTCATATAAAATAAATGATAATATGACAGCGTACATTTGCAACTCCACTTCCGTACATATTAAAAGTATTGCCATAATCCGTAAGTGAAATTTTTCAATACTTTCTAAAAAAATACACTAGAGAAATAAATTATCCAAAAATTGCAATTACAAATTTTTAGCTTCCTTTAAATACTATTTAATTTCAGATTACCTTTTATCTTAAACATTTTTCTTATTTATGTAATATTCCGTTCGATTAACTACAATATAATTAAGACACAATAACACGCCGAATAAATAGTAATTCAGAAGGCAAACAACAAAATCAGCGTTATATTTACAAAGCTGAGGATGGTGGTTCGGTAAAACCATCGAAACTAGTCCTGTGGAAATTTTGTAAATATAACGTTGATTTTTGTTGTTTGTCTTCTGAACTACAATATGTAAAATAATTCAGCCATTTAAAAAAATAGCAAAATCTTTTATTCTGTTATTCAAATGACGAAATTTAGATTCCAAGGATGACCAATGCGCTCATATATAATTTAAAACAGAATATTCATTATTATATCATAAATTCTAGCTCTTTGTTTTTCTTTCATTTCGTCTGTCAAACACTTCGTGTTACGATTTTCATTTTGTACAAGTGGCAATAATAAAATGATACCGAGTTTCTTCTGTGAAAATAAATTCTCATGTTTATTTGTGATCCTCAGTAAATCTCTTACATGGAACCCACACGTTACACATATTCTCAGAAAGTTTCGAGCTAGTAAAGCTTCACTCTTCCCCTTAATTGCTCGAAACAGTGTTCTATCTATTGATAATAAGTTGCTCATTTACAAAACCATGTTGCGTCCAATTCTTAGTTATGCATGCCTCGTCTGGCCATACTCGTGCAAAAGTTTGAGAAGGCAGTTACAAGCTGCCCAAAACGGGGTATTGCGTATGATATGTAATGCCCCCTGGTACATACGAAATAGCCAAATTTGTAAAGAGTTAAGAATAGAGGATCTTTGTGATTTTTATTGCCGCCTATCTAGGGCATTTTATGATAAACAGGAACTTCTAGACAATCCTGTGGTTGTTAACTATTGCTACGATACTAGGGACCCCAATTTCAGTAAACGCCCAAGGGCGATCCTAAATGTTAGTAATATGTAATTTTGTATATGTGTTATGCAAATTGTTGCTTAGATTCTTTATTGTATAATGTTATTTTTTCCTCCTGATTGCATTTTGTTTTTACTAGTGGCACTAAGGCGTCGCACTTCGTATTTTGTTTCTCTTGTGTGTACATGTATTCTTCTGTGAAACAGTTGTTAAAAAAAAAGTTAATTATGTATGGATTAGTAATTAGGTACTTAAGGTAAAAAATATGTATTTAACTATTAGCAATTATGAATTTAAACTCTTACTCATTTAATTATTTAGCACATTCAGTTACATTTCTCATAATTCGAAACTTTTATCATGTTATTCGATGAGGGGTAGGGCTATGGCGCCCAGGCACCCTGGTGGTTAAGCACCGCAGTTCAATGTATGTTCATTTTTTATTGAACTATTTTACTGTAGACTAATAAATTAAAATGTGAAAGAAAGTCTATTCCAACAATAGGTTTATTAACAGCATTTGCAGTTATAAACGTTCAGGTGAAGATTTGCGTAACCTCAAATCCAGTTCCAACAATTTTTGGCCATACGTACATTAGCTGCAGACAGCTCAGACATATAGCTCTTTTTTCCCGTGACGATGGTGGGATAACGTGGGATAACCGTATTTCTGTTCCAATGTCCGTTTAATCTTAGTATACGGTACACACGGAATTTGGCGGCATTGATCATAATGCCGCCAAACCAACACCAAATGATTCGTTTACTGCTCGTAATCAGAGCAGTAAACGAATCATTTTGATGTTGGCTACAAAATTTTCAAAATTGCGCCAGGGGCGTACTGTATACTAGGATTTTACCCCAGTGTCAATTAAAAAAATGGGGTGCTGATACGTTGTCACGAATATATAGACGACTCAGATTTTGACCCCTTGACTTTCGGTCGTCTTTGAAAGCCGGAAATTCAGGTATCCAGTTCCGAACCTTGATATTTGCATGGCGGTGTACACTTGTAAGCTTTCTCTCCAAATCCTAGGTGAAAATAACAATTATTTAGGTCCCTGTTATTTTGGGAACGATTTCTTGAATTCAATATGTATTTTCGTCTTTCTGGACTGCAATATCTACGTATACTCATTTCTGCTATCTGCAGGGCTAAGTCTGATATCTGTTTCTGTAAGTCTTGGGCGAGATTGCTAGCAGATGGTGGAGAAGTAATGCAAGCTACTTGAGGTGGAATGGGATTTAATTGCCATATTTTGTCAGCTATTGTCGATAGTTTGGACTAATCATCGCTGCTTACAGACTAAATTCTGCGCATATTAAGCAGCAGTCGTTGCATCCAGAACATTTAAAAAAAATTCACCCGGCATCTGCTCCATCACCAAGCTGCGTATTTCGCAGAGAAATTAAGATGGTTTCCTGTCACTCAATTCCAATTCAGTCAGAAGTTTCTGAGTTTTCTGCGATTTAGAATAGGCAAAAATTTCAATAAGCCTCTTTTTAACGGCTGGATATTTTGCCGTCGTCTTGTGGCTTGAAGAGGATATCAGCGAATTGTGACAACATGCTTGCTTCAATCCAACTGATTACATAATCATATTTTGTTTGATCAGTCGTAATTCCTGCGTTGAAGAATTGTGCTTCGATCTAAAGAAAGCATATTTTGGTGTGGGGTTTACAAAAAGGAGGAATTTTTGGGTTTACCCTGGCAAATGTTAATCTCTCCGATGCTTTTCTGTATTGACGTTTGTAGAAATTTAATCGCAATCAATCAGTTACGAACACGGTCACCAGTTTATAAGTTCGTTGTTTACGGACAAATGTTTCAACAGTATACTTTAGAGAACAAACTTTTTTAAATAATTTTTTCCTCCTGTTCTCTCTTTCATAAATTTATTTAAAGGAGTTTGTTTTCTAGAGTATACTGTTAAAACATTTGTCTTTAATCAGCGAACTTAGGCATTGGGATGGTAAAAATGGAACGAGGGCTAATCATGACAAAGATAATAGAAAAACGTTTTATGACGAAAACATGCTGAAATTATTCTTATACTTTGGCAAGAGAATCCACATAAATATTTAAGTACACCTTAAAAAGAACTGCATTTCACCATGAATATTTCTTTGACGATCTTCTAATAATTAGCATGCTTTTATCATCTCAACATTTAACATAAATTTCTTCTTTGGTCTTATATTTTTCATAGCAGAAATTATGTTAGCATTAAGTTCATTATTTTCTGGAAAACAAAGAAAGAATTCTACAATATCATAAAACTATTAAAACTGTAGACATCTATCCCTCCTTTAAAAAAAAATCTGTTATTAAGACACAAAAATGTTCTCTTTATTCTATTCATGAAAATGTATCGTAGTTAAAGATTTAGAAATGTCCTCTGGTTGAATACACGAGTTCATTTTCTGTAGATGTGATGAGTTCCTCAATTAGAATTTTCTGAACTTTTCCCATTTCCTTAAGATTCACTTGGACTTCTGAGGTATTTCCTAAACGTTCTGATATATTCAGATCTGTTGATAATAAATTACTCATATACAGAACTATCTTAACTTCCATGCTTTATTACGCATGTCCAGTTTGGTAGTCTTGACTCTCCAATCACAAACAGTTACAAACTGCTCATAATTGAATCCTGAGACAAATATTTAAAATCAACATGGTGCAACAAGTCTATGACTTCTAACTTAACAATAACATAGTACGTGAGAAATAAAAAAATCCACGAGTCCACCCAGCTACTTGCCTACTATCATCTTATGGCACAATTTTCATTTAAGCCTCGAAAATAACAATAGCATCCCTATAACTGTAACTACTGCTCTCCAGAATATGTCAAAAGACCTAAGCCTATTCTTACAACCTGATGTAGTCTCTATGTCCCTTATGTTACTGTTTGATATTTATCTTTTTATAATTTTTTCATTGCTTATTATCATCCCTTTTCCTTATTCTTTCTGTATCAAGTTATTCTTACCTCAAGAGTTTTTCGTGCAAATGGGGTTTTTATAGTAAAGCTGCATGCCCCTCTTGAACATCTTAACTCTTACCTCATACCTATTAAACTACACCTATATTTTCGCACCAGCTCATTCAGCTTTTCATTTCTTTGATTCCCGTCGAGTGTTATCACGCTGGTGAATTGGCTCGCCAGCGGCCGAGCGGTAAAATCATTGAATAGACCGCTCGTTGAATCGCCGAGAAGTAAAATCACTGAACTCAGGCGAATCGGCTGGCTGGCATGGGTATTCCAGGCGAACGGACTAGCTAAATGAGCTATTTTGGGGATTTTCCTGATGTGTAATGCCAGTTCCTCTTGGAAAGTCTTCCACGATGTCATCCGTCCTTTAGGCAGGTAGCCTAGTGTGCTTTTCCATAATAAACTAAACGAAACTAAACCAAACCACGCTGATGTGCTGTCAATAGCAGTGAACTAATTTTGAAATTTATTATTTTGTACCTAAATCATTAGGGCTATGTAAATAAATTTCATAAGCAGTTTTGATAGAGGCTGGGTCCCGAGCACGATTACACCGAAGGTGAATCGTGATTATTAACCCCTTCAACGCTTGATCTATGCTGATATATTCTCAGTTTGTTTCACTACAATTTTTAACTATCTGACAAAATATAGCTTCATTAATTCGTCCTGAATTTAATAACACTATTAGTTATTTTTTCATCAATAATAGCAAACATTTTACTTTTTCTAGACTCGAAATTTTTAAAAGATTTACTTCTGTACCTGAGAAAATGTGTGTTTCAAGTATAGAGATTTGTATGTTTTGCATATGACGACCAAAATTTCAGGCAACGTGTCTCCAAATCTCTCTCGCAATACAAAATGCTGTTTTACTAAACAAAGAAAATAAGAAAGAAGCCCATAAAACTCGCTTAGACTGCTATTGTATGGTTATAAGTTGTGAATAGTAATTTAAGTTTGACAATTAATCAACCATATCTATATCTTTCATTAAAAATGGAATAGAATTCACATTTTGATCAAAATTACAAGACAGGCTGGAAATCTAAAAGCAGAGAGAAGGGGGAGAAACATGTTGAATCTTATTCAGAACGGTCAGAATGCTTTCATTCTTTATTAAAATTTACTTTAATCGTGTTGGCTACTAAGCCGTTATCTTCTTTCAACAACTCATTAATTCAAAATTAATTTCTTGTCCAAAAATCGTCTGCTCTTTTTTCCCTTCTAATCTTTTCCCAATATTTGTTTTTGTGTGAATTACAGGTAATATAATAAATTTATAGAAGCAAATACTTTTCACTGGATAGCAGGTTATAAATTTCTCGTTGATCGGTAAGTTGTGTGAAATATACTTTGCTAATATTTGAATATTAATATTTAATTTTAAGATCCAGTTTTTTTCAATTAACAAAAAATACAAATGAAATTTTTTAAATGTCAACAATTTTTGCTAAGTACTTTCTAATTTTCAACAATATCATTTTCAGTAAAGGGAAAGTATTTATTCATATCAACTTCAGGCTTTCATTACTGATAGTTAGCCTAAATAATCACTAAAAATGTCTATTCTCTTCCTCCCTCCTCCGAAAAAAAAAACTTATTCATCTATTTTGGGTATGTGATACATTTTAATTCTCAGTTCGTGAGAATAAAATACAATTTTTTAATTCTGATGTTCAAATTAATCACTCATTATATTTTCTTCTACACCTATGATTTTGCTGCATTTTATTTAAAAATTAATTAATAAAAGTAGTAATATAATTGTTTTACCATACTGATAAATCTTTAGATTTGTATTTTAAAAAGATTAATGATTTTCAAAATTACATTCACATTAATTGTGATTTTAAAAATACTGATTTTTTAATTAGATGTTGCTAATTTCGTGATATTTACATTTTCCTGTGTATTAATTTAATTCTAAAATTAAGGTTAGTGTAACACGCTGACATTTTCCCATTAATGTTGGTACATATCAGGCATGGCCAAACTGCATCATTTTGCGGCTCTCATCCTAATAAATGAGAGTTTTCTATTTGGAATATCGTTTCAATAATTTAAAACAAAAATCACTCAGACTTGTTTTCTTAACAAACACTAATTTCAATTTAAATTACACTAATGTGTGCTAATTCCATCTAATTTCAAACTCCATTTCTGGGACTTACTATCGTGGAAGACAACTCTTTATTATTAACAACTCTTTGCGTTAATGATGTACCCCAAATCTTACTGAACGATGTCATGAATTTGTTTAGCGGTCACATTTATTAGGGGAAAAAAAAGAACATAACAGATCCAGTTTGCTTTTAACTGAATTAAATGATTTAGGGTTTTCTTTTTTGTCTTGATGCATTGGTTGGGTGCGTAAAATGTTAAATTATTATTTCTGATGCAAAACCACTGCTGAATTGTCAGCTTATTTTAAATAACTTTTATATACAGTGTCTCACAAAAGTGATGGGACACTTGTGCTTTACAAAAGTAAACTGTAGTAAAATAAATTAAAAAAACATGTAAAAATTTTTTGTGTGTTTCATACTTAAATTTAGTAACAATTATTACATAACATTCATTTTTTCAAAATATTAAAATTTTAATTTAATAAAAATACAATTGTTTAGAACGGAGCAAAAAATGGCTCACATAAGTGATGGGACACTTACTTTTCCATCAAATATTTATCCAAAAAGTTTTACTTTTTAAAAAGGTTTTAATATTTTTTTGGTTGATTTCCTTTTACTTTTCAAACATGATTTAATCTTCTTGGGATGGATTCGACACTAATTTTTTTTGTGTGATTCCTGGAGTGATTTTTACCTCATTCTTCTTGAAGCAACCATGAAAAAACCGATTTTAATTTTTGTTTTGAAGAAATGGTGTGTTTTGCGAATTCTTGATTCCAATTCTTGCCAAATATTCTCTATGGGATTTAAATCTGGAGATTGTGGTGGTGTTTTTATTATTTCAGGACAGTTATACAGCAGTCTGAGTCTAACGTTCAAAGCAGTGTGCTTGGGGTCATTGTCCTGGTAGAATTTAAAATAGTAGTTATGAAGGTTCAATTTTCGTGCTGAAGATTTCAAATTTTGATTTAAAATGTAAATATACTTGTACTGATCCATTATACTGTCAATAAAAACAAGATTACCAACTCCAGCGGACGACATACACCCCCATACCATAACTCCTACTCCACCATGTTTTATTGTTGGCATCAAGTTCTGTTTGCGAAATTCTTCCCTGGGTTTTCTTCACACCAAGATTCTACCGTCAGAACCAAATATATTAAATTTACTCTTAAAACCAAATATCAGCAAATATAACTTCATTCCAGTAATCAGAATTCTTATTTATGTTGGATTTTGCAAAGCCAGACTGAGTTTTCTATTCTTTTCACTTACGAAGAATTTTTTCCTGGCTTCTCTACCGTGATATCCAGCAGATCGAATTGCTCTTCTAATAGTCTCAGGATTAGCAATTACTCCATAAATCAGCAGCAACTTTAGGAGCACTCATTCTTGGATTTTTTTTTTAATATTTCGAACGATAATTCGCTTTTTCCATTGGATAGCATTGATGGTCGGCCAGTCGTCTCTTTCATCCTGAATCATATGATTCTTTTTTATATCGTTTAATGATATTGAAAACTGTTGAATGACTCAAGTTAACTGTTTCAGCAGTTTCTCAAATAGAGTTTTCCACGTTCAATATGCAAATTAATAACTAATTTTCGAATTTCAGGCAAAGTTTCTTTTTGTTCAGAATTCATGGCTGCACAGAGCTAAAAAACACAAAAATTCCAAAACAAAACTGGAGAGAAATACTGCAACGATTTTATAAATTATTGCCATTGCTTTTTAGTAAAAATAAAAAAACCCCAAAAATATTTTTATTGTAGTAACGTAGTAGTATCTAATGGTGTTCCATCACTTATGTGAGCCATTTTTTGCTCCGTTCTAAACAATTGTATTTTTATTAATTAATATTTTTTTTAATATTTTGAGAAAATGTATGTTATGTAATAATTGTTACTAAATTTAAGTATGAAACACACCCACAAAAAATTTTTACATCTTTTTTTAATTTATTTTATTACAGTTTCCTTTTGTAAAGCACAAGTGTCCCATCACTTTTGTGAGACACTGTAGCTCACTTGAGTTTTTCAAGGTAATTTTTCTTAATTTTAGAGTTAACAGTAAAGAAAAAAATTATTAGCTCTGTTTTCCGTATCACTGCTTTATACCATACTGAAAAGTTTTTTATATTACTGTAAAGTGCACTATGTATTCTTTCTTTTTCGGTTTATTCTTGTTAAAAATATCAGTAGTTATTAGAAAAGAAGTTTCGGTTTAAAAAAAGAATGTTTTTTAGGTCGTACAAAAGTCTGACATTTGAGAGTTGTAGGAAACCTATTTTCCCCAATACACCGCAATGAGCAATGAGAATTATTTATTTATATTTTCACTAAATAACTGGTTAAATAATTATAAAATGCAGTGTCGTGGTTAAATTACTTAAAGCATTTCTTTCTGTTCAAAAACGTTTCACGCGTTAAGTACTCATGTTTATAAAGTAGTTTGTGGCTCTTCTAATTTCCTGAATTCTAATATGGGTCTCCTATTAACACGAAGTTTGGCTACCTCTGGTATACATGATCTGCATTTATTAATTATTTCATAATTCCTTAAAAGTAAATAAAAACTGAAAATATTTTGTGAATCTTATATTTAAATCTCACATATAGCTTATGTGTAATAAATTATTCTATGAATTAACACTATAAACTGTATTTTAGGAGATATTATTGAAAACTTTCAATTAAGAAAATACGAATGTATCTAGACAAAAGGCATTAAAAATATTCTTTAAGGTGAACATCATTATTTCAGAATGGATGATAAAGTTCAAACTGCCCATAATCAGCCGGGAAAGTCCCTGAAAAGAAAAAGGGGGAAAGAGCATAAGCAAAGAAGAAATAAAAAGAGTAAATTTTCTTCAGCATCAAAATCATTGGTTGAAAATTCAGGAGGATATCTGCTAAATCACAAAATAAAATTCTTTGATTTAGAATGCCAAACACTTCTTGCGCTAAATTTATCACCACAGTTTTGCTTCAAGTTTTTTGCAAATAAAGCAGAGACCTATACGAAATTTACTAGTGCTGAGCAATTGAAAATAAGCATGAAATTTGATGCTGAAAATGTCTGCTTATGGAGCATAGGAAAGATAGATCAGGATTGGCTTTCTCCAGGTGCGGCAGAAAATTCGGTGAAATGTTTACATCATACAGTGTGCAAAACTATACAAGAGGAGGTAAATGCAACGAAAGAAAAGCAATTATTCTTCTACAATCAAAGCAGAAATCTACATATTCAATTTCAGACCAACCTCATTTTAAACTGTTTTGATTGCAACTTGAGATTTTTTAACTTTGCTTTAAATTCCAGTGCAGTTTTAGAGGGCACACATTTAGATTTAAAATATCTTTCACAATGGAATACCATTGCACTTACCTTTGATCTGAGTAGCATAATTGACTTCAAAAGATATATAATGTTCTTTTCATTGTTACCCGAAACTTCAAATAATACAGAACAAAATAATTTTTCACAGCAAGTGCTAAATGAAGAATCTCTTTTCATTGCACTTAATTGTTTCGTTCAGTTGGAATTAAGAAAGAAAAGAGCTACTATTTCAAAATTAAACATACTTTACACTGTAATAAAACAGCGATTATCATCCAATCTGAGCGCAGAAAATATCACTGAAAATTTATTGAAAAATTATCAGTTGATATGTTTGTATCCAAATATTCATTTTAATGGATTAACTTTAAAATTAAACCTGACTGTTTATTTTGCATGTTTAGTCCCAACATTAAAGCAATATATGCATTTCATAGGCTTAATTTCAAAGTTTCAAAATAAGGTCAGTCTTCTTCTAAAACTTAATACTTTACTTTTGATGGAGAAAAAAATGTTTTTCAGGAGTACTTCTCGAAATTCCTTTAACACTAATTTCTTCCCTAATTTCAGAGAAGATAAAAAGGACCTCAAAGATTTGAGATGCAAGGAAGATTCAAAAATTTTGAAAATATTTTACAAAATTTGTAAAATAAAAGTAAAACGTAAAATTCCTTTAAATAAAGTTATTCTTTTAAAATACATACGGATGAATTTATTGAAGAAAGATAACAATATGTATCGCCTATATTCTAAGGCCACACACACTCTTTTTAGTTTACGATCATTAACGACAGAAAACCAAAATGCCTCAAAACATGTTATAAAAGCATACCACACAGTGAAATATTTTACTCAGTTTGGCCGAAATTACAATCAGAATTTTAATCAAGAGCTGTATGATAACGGCAAGGAAATGTTCGCAATCATTTGCAGTAATGAACCAAAATATAAAGATATGGCATATTTTGGAAGATTGAAATATCAGAGCTGTTTTAATTTAAAAGAAGGCAATCGTAATATTACAGAATGTTGTTATGGCTTAATCTCAATTCTTTATAAAAAGATTTGTAATGAATCAATGCGATTAGTTCTGAATGGTGATTTTCTCACAAGCAAAAGAGATGTTAAATCTGTAAGTGCGCATAATACAAATCTGTGTTCAAAAACTATAAAGTTATTTAGAGGTAAGAAAAATGAAGAAATACAGAGAAAATTTACAAAAACACATTCCAATGAAAAGATCAGAAACTTAGTAAAAGCCTCGAAAGAGATCGCGCAGAAAAAACAATACAAAGAGAAGAAAGAAATGCGAAAATTGTACCAGAAAAATAAGAAATGTAATGAAACAATAGCTACATTCATGGAAAATGAATTAATAGAAATAAGCATAAATGATATGAAGTTCTTTCATAAAAATAAAAAGCACTACAGAGGAATAGAAATGCTAAACAGTAATGGCAAAATAACACAGGCAGAAGATCAGTTTCCCATGAAAATAAGTACAAATATTATTTCGAAAAATCTGTTCGAAAGACGAGAGAATAAATTACGATGTACATCACAAATGAGAAATAATTTATTACAAATCGAAGACAAGTTTACAAATGAAGATACAAAAACTGCAGAAGTTCAGTTTACCATGAATACAAGTACAAAGGTTACTTCGAAAAATTTATTCAAAAGACGAGAGGAAGATGAATTTGGATGCACATCGAAACTGAATAACAGTTTGTTTCTGCTCAAAGAAAAGTTTTTAAATGAAAATATAAAAATTGCAGAAGACCAACTTCTCACGAAAACAAGAACAAAAGTTACTTTGAAAAATCTTTTCAAAAGGAGAGAGGAAGACATTTTGGGGTGTACATTAAAACTGAACAATAATTTGTTTGAACTCGAAGAAAAGCTTTTAAATGAAGATATAAAACTCGGAGACATTAGATTTTGCAGCGAATACTCTATTAACAGGGAAGAATATCATACTGGATATGGTGAATTCGAAACTCATGCACTCAATAAATGCATATTACCAAGCATAAACCAGAAAAACGTAAAATGTAAAACCGATGATAAAGGTCTAAGCGTTAAAATTTCAAACAGAATACTAGACCAATTTCTCGGAAATGAAAACCAATCCTCATGGATGAAATTTAGGCAGAACTTTAGCAAAAAATTATGTACAAAGAAAATTTTTTCAGCAAGGTCTGAATGTGGAGTTAAAGAAGGCATCCATAAAGCAGTACAGGGCTGTGTAAGCGACTGCAATATTTTGTACGGGGAAACCACATCAATTTCAAACAGTAAATATATTGAAATAACTCAGCTTGAGGAAAAGGTGATTCATCAGCTCGAAGATGATAAACGTCAAAAAGGCAGTTTACACAAAAGGAAAGGAACTCAGACTAATAGTGATTCACCTTTAATTACTACTAAGTTGAATAGTTGTGATGAGAGACGTTTTCCTGTTCAAGGTAAGAAAATCCTCGAGGACTTCAAAGAGCCCTGTACCAGAAAAGACGCAATTTGTCAAACCGAAATTTCGATGCAAACAGCTGAAATTTCAAATTATATTGTAATAGCAGCTGAAACATTTACTACTGGCACAGTTCTTACTCTGTCTCAAAACATACCTGAAAGAAATGCCCAGAACATATTACCGATCAAAGTTTCCTTTCAGAAAAGTTTGCCATGTACTAAAAGTCTTCAAGATAAGTTGATTGTCAATATAAAAGAAGTTACACCTGTTCCTTCAGACACATCATTTGCTTCTTCAGATCCTCTGAAAAGTGATTGTTACAGAACTGGTATCCCAAACAGTCACATAAATCCTACTTTAACCAACTACAGCCAAAATTTTTCATTGGAAAATTGTCTAAATGAAGGAGAAGATGGCGAAAAGATGGAAAATGAAAGAAAAATGACTTGTGGTAAGTAAAACGTGAACTCATTTTCATTATGGCAAAGTTTATTGATAGGAAGAAATAAATTAAGCTTTGGCTCCTGTTTAAAATGAAGTTTCAAACGAAATTAAAAGTTTGTCTCTTTTTCATTCCAAAAATGAAAAGCTTAAAATTCTGATGCAGCTGATTCTTATAAAGGTGACGACAGAATTTTTAATTTGGTCGGATAGAGTATCTGAAAGCAAAGTGTGTAGAGTCATTAGGTTATTTTGAAGCAGAAGACATGAAACTCGCCGGGACTCGGACCTGGACCTCTCGCATACGCGCCACGAAGGCCTGATGGAACCACGAAGACCACGTAAGGAGGGATAAAATACCTTATATACTCCTCGTTTTAAAAAGCGACTAGAGATTAGGGAAGCCAGTAGCCAAATCCTGGTAGTGAGGAATTATTATTCACCATCTTTTAGTTCGGGCGCCATTTGTAGAGTCATTAGGTAATTTTGAAGCAGGAGACGGGAAAAATGTGATATGCCCTCTTCGGAACTTGACCTGGACCTCTCAAATACGCGCCAAGTGTGCTACCGTTACACCACGAAACGAAGGAATGCTGGAAGGACGGAGAAAATATGAATAATAAAATTAAGTAAAAGGTAAAGAAATAAACAAAAACTCTATCAATTAAATTAAATAATAAATTAAAAAAGGTCGAGGTATAATCTTATATAGGGCTTCGACTAGACGTAAGGTTTTATTCAAAGGCTGAGAATTATCGAAGCTGCACTCCCAGTAGGCCTTAGCTGATTCTAAAGCCTGTCTTAATGATGAATTGGTAGTTATTGTTTACCAGAGATAAGAAATAATGTTAATATTATTATGCATTTTTACTGCAATGTACATTTTTTAAAGAAATAATATTGTGATAGTTACTAATAGTTTATCCACGATTACTTTTCATGCGTTATAAGTTTTACTGTTAACCGCGTTCATCGGAAATTAAATTATTCGCATAATTTTCCTTTCTCGATTTATCCTCTCTTTCGATAAAATTGGTTATGAGGGAAATACAGCACATGAGGTATGTAAAGAGTTTATGGAACAGGTTAAGTTTTATTAACTTACAATAATATTTTAATATATGAATTTAAGTCATTTATTTATCTTGTATTTGTGCTACGTTTACGTTCCGTCCTTATTAAAGATTTTTCAAAATTTTTGGAGCGTAATGGTTATGTTTTGCTCACTGAAAGGTATCATGAAAGTAATAATTTCATCCAAATATATAATTTTCACTTAAGAAATTCGAAAACTTATATGCTTTTGCAGCTCTGCAGTTTATATACTTAGATCAGTTAATTTTCTCATTTTGCCACCAATAAAATAAAATACATGATAAAATTATTAATTTTTTCCCCCTGATGAATGAAGATCCACATTATATCATAAATGTTCTGTTTTGCTACTAAAATTAGCACAAAAAACTCACTACCTAGGCACCAAAAGTCTAAAATAAGGAGAAAAAATGGCACATTATATCCATAAACAAGACACATTTTGCTTTATGTGTACAGAAAGTCCAAGATTTTGCAGAAGAAGGCAGAAACCACAGTCGGTCATCTACTTGCCTCCTTTTTTAGTCACAAGTGCTGCTACTTAACTAACATTGCACCTGTCGTACAGTGGCAATTAAAAATTCATAGCCAGAGACCAACGGCTTGAGGCTATGAATGACTGTCAGTTGTGTCATTGAATTGAGGTCAAAGGTGTCTTCGGATTAATTTTAATTATACTTAGAAAATAAATTTTGCACGGCTTCCACTGGTGACAACCAGTGACAGTCACTTGTAACTTATAGCTTTTACCAATGAGAGTATGCTTCCTTTTAATTTAATCTTTCTAAATTAACTGCATCGCCATGCACTGGTGAAACTTTGGTTGATACACGTGATCTTCAGTCTTTTGGTAGTTGGTTGCCAACACTTTTGAAAGCCATTGTATTCTGTGATTCAGTACTAATTTTAAAATTACTCAAGATTACTCACTTGTGTACGATTGCTAGACCACTGATAGTCGTCAATTTGGTGGGTCACCAACATCCAACAGTTTTGATGGGCTCCCATATAGTTCGATATTTATTGAACTCTTCTATATATAGGGACTTGTGGGTTGACCCATATGATCACAAATATGTAGTCACCGACAACCAACAGCATCCACAGTCACCTTTAATTTTATTTTAATAATTTACTTAAATGATATAATTGTATACACAGGAAATATATAACATATCCATTTGTAAACTTTTATTAACATTATTTTAAATTTTTTACAAAGTATAATTTTAATTAATAAACATTTTGTACTTGACACAAAATTTTCTAGTTTTTAGTTCTCTAAACTTTCGAATCTTGCACTAATATTTACAGAAAGGCATGAACAATACAGTTTCATTAACTTAGTAAAAAACATATTTCTTCTTTTAACTAGAAAAACAGCAGAAGAGACAAGAAGGTGAAAAAAAGCAAAAGAGCAAAGTGAGAATGGGACTTTCTCGGAAGCAGAAAGTGAAACCACTACATCCGTACCTAAAAAACTTACCAGCAATTTAGTTACGGAGGAATATTATTGTCATTCTGACAATTCAGTGTGAAACGTTATATTGTATTTAATAATAAAGTTCATTATTTGAAAGTCTTGTAATGTGAGAATTATTTTGAACCTAATAATTCTGAAATTCTTATATTTTGAAAATTAAAACCACAAGACAAATTATGCATAGTGAACATAAAAAGAAAAGAGCAAATTATTGTACTATAGCATTAAGTAATAATGCTTCACCTCTGTTCTCTGTTTAATTATTTTCTGCACAGAATTATTTACATTTGAAATATTTTTTCAAATCTCATTGTTCTAATTTTCCCAGAAATAATTCAGTATTAAAGTAATTTAAATATTATTATTTAAACTTTGCTCATTATGAATGAGGTGCGAAAAGGCCATGGTTGGGAAAAGAATCAAAGCTGTTAATAATATGTGATTTTCATTTACCTTTCAATAATTTATTTAATAATTTTAACCTTAATTTATCAATCATTTGCTATTTTTATTAGTGTAATAAAGTGAGTCAAACGAAAAACAATACGATTTAGTTATGACAGGACACATCTTTTATTTTAACCAGAACATTTATATTGAGAACGTAAAAGGTGAAAAATCATCAACGTACTCCCCTCCAAGAGTCAATACATTTTTACTAGCTTTCTAGAAGCATGACGTTTTTACAGAAGTTTCCCTGTGGGCTATGAATCTATTCCTGAATAGTGATGGTGACATCATCGTTATCCTCAAATTGCATGTCTACCAAATAGGATTTAGACGTGGCTTTCAGTACTATCTACTATGGACTTCTAAAATGCATAATTTCTTTCATTTTCAAGCCACCGCAGGAAAGAACTAGCGCTTTACATGCGCATCGCTTTGGTCTCGACTACAATGTGCATGGATACTACCGGGCATACACTTTGCCATAGTGCAAATGTTTTCTCATAATAGTTTCTACATTACAGACACTGACTGAAAAAAATCGACGTTAGTGCATTAATTGTGATGGGCTTATTCTCATTAATAATCGTATACACACGACAAATGTTTGTCGAGGTAACGTTATTCTTCATGCGCTCACTGAAGCACTTAACCACTTAAACGCTACAAATAGTATGGGCAATAGTGTCTCAGAGACACATTATTCCCCATACTTTTTTATGTGCTTGGAGACTCTGCCAAATTTCAGGTGACTCGGCGTTTTCTCGAACGAGAAATTTGATCATGATGGGATATTCCACACTCCTAAGCAGTTGCTGCTTGCTCATGACTCTCGCAACTTTAAGACACGACTTAGCAATCTTATCTACACAGTACGTAAGTTGAAAGAAGTTGGGTGCTTCGTCTCAGATGCGGTGAAGAAGCAAATGAGGATACACAGCACTGTGCATGGGTAGTGGTATGTAACAGCAATAGCCCCAGTCATATTTGAATTCCCTTGTATTTCTTAATAATGTTTCGGTACATATTAATGTTTACGCCATCAGTATAACTTATCAGTATAATTAACGAAGATCTTTTATAAAGTTTTTAACAAAGCACTTTATTCAATAAGATAGGCTTTCTACTTAATCCTCTGAATTGAACACTTTAGTCTGAATCTAAAATGGAATCGAACAGTAACATTAATATACCTGGGATATTATCTCTATTTTTTAATTTTGCTAAATAGTTATCCATATAATTTTAATTTTAATAATATTTTGATACTTTTTCATATACTCCTTTTGACTCTGAGAAATGAAATAAACAAATACTGAAGATTCATATACCCCATTTGACTTTGAAATAAACGAATACTGAAGACTTTAAAAGTGAAAGAATTTTTAAGTTGATTTCGCATCCAGATGTTAAACACGTCGTCTGATTGTCGAACATTTGAACTGATCTTATTAAGTAAGAGTTTGATTTTAAACGTTTCCGCAGCATTTTTACTTCCTTGTACGAAGTAAAAAGGAAGTATTGTAATCGCGAAAAGCTTCAGGCAGCATATTTCAACGAAAATATCCACTTTGACCGCTTTCGAATGCAATTTAACGATGTTTTTGCGTGATATCTGTAAGTAAGGACAGAATAAAAGACTCTTTACCTCCCCCCCCCAAAAAAAAAAAACTGCTTTAAAATGAATTCTGAAGAGAATTTTTCGTGGCGTCTGTACGAACGTATGTGCGTACGTACGTACGTACGTATCTCGCATAACTCAAAAACGAGTAGCCTCAGAACGTTGAAATTTTGTATATAAGACTACTATAACATGTAGATGTGCACCTTGTATTTTGGTTTCAATCGGCCGCGCCAAAAGTATATTTATAAATATATCCATTCTGTTACCCGGCTCAGTGATCTCAGTTTCTTTACTCTTATATGTTTGTAAATTTTAAATTTTTTGCTTTAAAAATGATTGAATTATGTTGTTTTATCTTCCGGTTAAGGGTTTTATGCCTTTAGTAAATCTATATGCAATATTTTTAGAATTATCAACAATTTTAAAATTGTTTAAGTGCCGCTAAGCCTAATTTGATGGCGGCCATTGATGTTTACATTTGAAACAGGAGATTAGTGGAATTTTTGCCAATCTAGAGAAACTTAGCTTCGCAACAACAAAGATAACGCCTTCATTTATTATTGCCAATTAAATCATGCTTAATCCTTTCTTGAATTTTTTCGAGGAAATAAGCGTTTAAGATGTACTTCGTAATTTTTAATACAGATATTTTGAGTTTTTATGTATTTTTGCCTTGTCGCGAAGTGAGAACTGAATTAATTGAATGAGAAATACTCAATCGTCTGTGAAAAACTGTTTTTTTTTTTTTTTTTTTTTTTTTTTTTTTTTTTTTTTTTGTTTGCTTAATTTCTTTTATACATAGTTCCAGCTTTATTATAGTATTTGAATAGAACACGTGGCAACGATTAGATAATTCTGTAAATGATATAAATTTTGTGCATTCAGAGTTATAATATGAACGAAATATAATACTGTTAAGTAAACCTAGCGCCAGAGTGTCGCTATGGTAAACAAAGTGAATTTTAAAGAATGCATTTATTCTATTGTGGTTTATGCGCTGTCGGCGAAATAAGTTTAATTCAATCTAATAAGTTTAAATAAAATGCAAGAAAAAATGCGTATAATTTAATATTCCGTACAAGGAAGTCATGTGGTATACACATCAGATTTTTTTACATTCAGTAATGGCATTAAATTTAAAAAAAAAAAAAAAACTCTTTCTGAGAATAGTTTTTGACACCTTATAAGATCTTTCGAAAGATCTTTTTTTCGATTTCGTTATTATGAATCGTTTGCCGATCAGTGTTGACTTAATTAATTATCAAACTATTTTTCAAAACTTTTATGTACCTCGTCAAAAACACTAATGTGTGATTTAACTTGATGATGGAAACATTATTCACAGAATATTTTTTTACTAGTATTATTGAAACTATGTGGCGATTCAAAATGCTATATAATCTGGAATAATATAACTATTAATGAAATATTTGCAAGTAAAAGATCGCATAGATATTAACCATTTGTGGTATTTGTGAAAATGTGTAACAGTTACAATTACTAGTATATACAATACGTGTTAATTATCGTATAAAGGCTGATAAATTTGTAAGTAAAGTGGAAAGTGTTTTACAATTATTAAGAATTTGTAATACAGCTTTTTAAAGCTGATGACCTAGTATGAGCAACCAGTCACTGGTGTGAGGAGGCTCAGGGTTTGCCACATTAGCAACAGCTGCCAAGGAATATGATTCATAAATGCTGGTAGAGGAACATTCCAAAAATTTGGGTTAGACTTGGGTTAAGGACTTTTCTAATTTTAGAAATGTAAATAAACCAATAACAAAAGAATTTTACTTGGCTCTGAAACAAAACCTGCTTATCATGATAATAACAGTTTTGAACCATTCGTAAAGGTAATAATTGAACTGATATTGCGACCTACTATTGTATCATCATCTTACGTTATATAAATCAAGAAAATTAATATGTCAGTTAATTGACAACAAGCAGAATATTGCAATAACATTTTAATTATCTTGTTTCATTACAATAACATTTGTAATTATTAATTCAGAAGTCAAACAACAAAAATCAGCGTTATATTTACAAAATTTTCACAGGACTAGTTTCGATGGTTTTACCGAACCACCATCCTCAGCTGCAAAACCGCAAATGAACAAGATAGGATAATGATTAGATAAGATAAGAATGCCTGGACAAGAATAAGCAAGTGGCGCCATCTGTTGGTGAAACCAGGAAAACTAAAACATAATTTCCCTTTAAAGGCCGAAGGTAAAATTTGGATTGGAATTAGGATCGTTAACTAGAACAGAAAGATTTTTTATGAATGTGAAATGGCCTCTAGAAAATCCAGTTCTCCAATGGAGATGTTTTTTGAATAATTTCGGCAGCAGCAGAAAAATTTGAAAGTGTGATTTTTCCGACCAACAATGTTGAGCAACAGAAGGACTTCTGTGTTTCCTTTTTTTCTAACATATGCCTCATGTTCCTTGACGCGAAATTTTAAGGCTCTCTTAGTTTGGCCAATGTAAATTAAACCACACTGGCAAGGAATCCTATAAATACCCCAGGAATTCATATCCGGAATGGATATGAACTCGGAGTATGGAACTCGGAATTTTATTGATGGGAGAATAAACAACCCGAAAGTTAAATTTCTGCAAAATATGTGCAACTTTATAGCTAATTGATTTTTGTTGTTTGACTTCTGAATTAGTATTTATTCGGCGTGTTATTGTGTCTTATTTGTAATTATATCAGAAAGAATAAGAGATCCGCATTACAGAAGCTCCGAGTAAAAGAATTTGCTAGAACTGGAATTTAATTATGTGTAAATAACATCTTAAAAAGTAAATTAATATCTGTTCTGCAACTACAGGAAGAAAACATAATCCGGAAAATTAAGATATTACGAGTACATTAACTTTACCAATTTTCACAGCCAAATTTATATTTATATTTTTTATATTAAAAAAAAGACATTTTTTACATTTTCAAATAAAAGATGAGTTATGTATTATCTCTTTTCTTCTCACACAGTCTTTCCCGAGATAAA